TGGAGAGTAGAGGGACGACAACGAACATGACCTTAGTAGAGGGACAAGAACGAATAAAATATTAAAGTAGAGGGACGACAGTTGGCTTTAAACCGTATATTATATATATATATATATATATTTAACTTCCTGAATTAAAGGGTTTGATTCTTTTCTTAGGTAGCTATATTCGCTGCCTTGACTACTCGTTTTGTACATTTTCCTTTTGTAACTATAGTCATTTCTTGGTGGTTGGATTGGTCATGGCATGGCTTATGAGATACATGCCGCTGTGACTTTTTGTCAAAGTAACATTTTTATATTTTATTATTTTATTTTACAAAAGAAAAAAAAATGTAGTCTGTTTTAAATTGATTATATTTTACTTAATTATTAATAAAAATAATTTTTAATAGTAGATACTCATTCTTTTATCAATAATAAAAATGATGCAGTCTACATGGTATTCTTCTTCTCTTTTTTTTTTTTATTTTAAATAAGTTGCAAACTTGATAATTTCATAGTCCTACAAAAGTTAAAACCACTTAAATTTTGTTTGATTTGATTAATATTTTATTAGTTTATAATTTTTTAAATAATTAATTATAATATTTAAAAATATTAATTTATAAATTTATTTTAATTTATTAAATAATAAATATAAATTATTTTATTAATTATTAATTAATAATAATTAAATTAAATTAAATTAAATTAAATTAATATCTTTTAAAAATAATATTGTGCCAACATAACATTTCTATTGCCGGCCACACCCGTAGCAACCAGACCTCATTTTCCAGTCCTTGGCAGGGCGTGTCAGACTCAATCAAAGGCATTGGTTAAGGTGACGCATTAAAAGTGTTAAGGTTACATAATTTTCTTTTACTACAGTGTTTACAAACCTTTACAGAGATCACCAAGATTATCTGAAAAACCCTTTTTAATTCTAATATTACATTTCAATCTTTGTATTTTCTCGTATTCATTAATAAATTTCACGTTTAAGCTATTTTTCCATGATAACATACACATATATATTTTATTAAAAATATTTAAATAATTTAATAATTTTTTTGACAAATCAATCTAAAAAATACTTTTTGTGTTTGTAGTTAATGATTTAGAAAAATTTAAAGTCCATTCAAGCCCAATTTTTTTTTCAAAGTTGGGTTAACTATCATCGACTTGACTTCTAGAGCAAACATTTTATCTCTTATATTTACCCAATTACATATTCTTAAAGCCCAAACTTAAAAATCAAACTTTTTCTTTTCTCTGGTTAAGCAAAATATACACAAATATGATACTTGTAAATCCTCCAAGAAATGAACAAAATGATTGCGAATATCTAATTTTTTGTTTGAGATCTCAGCTTGAAAGACTCCAGACGAGATGAATTTTAAAACTCTGCCTAAAACAATTGAATTAACAATTATAACCTTTTTAAATTTTATACACAAAAGGAACAATTATTATATATTAGTTAAGATTATTATCTAGCCCACGC